CAGAGTATGTAAAGAGGATATGCCATTGCATTTGCAGATCAAAACCACTTGTAGCTCATGCTCTGATTTTTGTGCAAAAAACTGAAGGCAGATCTGGAACTTAAGGCTAAAACACTACTATGATCAGACACAAGGTCTGGGCTTTTTTTTTTTTAATTGACTAGACAAAGGCCATATCTCACTTTTCCAATCTAGAGTTCCAGTTCTATCTTGTCTGAAAACCTGCATCTTGAAAGGCTCCTACAAACTAATTTGAAGGAACATATATTAAACAAAGTGCTAGACAGGTAAGGAATAAGAAAACAACGCTATAGAATACCTTCTTTTAATTTCTGATATTTAAAAATTAGCAGATGATCTGAAGCTTAAGCTTTTAATTGAATTTCAAGCTTGTTGTGTGTTTGCTTGCTTTTACTTTAAAAAGAAATGATAAATATGTTTCAATGAGATGTACATTTTCCTACAGTGTTTCTGAGCAAGCTCTTTTCACTTTTTCCAAGGTGCAATGCTTTTATACTACAAAAAAAAGGAAGCAGAAAAACCTGGTGTGCAATCTCTACAATCATACTCTCGTCATCACTTTTATTTCATTTTCTAATTATGTAGTCAAGCAGCTACTGTACACAGAGCCCCTATGGCACTTTCCATAATGATATTAAACATTGTCTTGCCTTACCTTTCCCCCTCATCCAAAATTCATGCAGAGCTTCAAAGAACATTATCTCTAAGTAGGAGTGATAAAGTCATGGCAGTGATTTCAACCTGAGGTTACATATTTTGCTTCACACCCCATTAATGCAGCTCCAAGAATTGAAAGACCAGAAGGAAAGAGACTGGGAGTGTGTCACACTGGTATGACCACTAGTTACAAGTCTTTAAAACCCAAGTTTAGAATAAAATAACAAGGAAGCTGAAACAATACCTTGTTTTACTCCAGTCCCTAGAGACACTTGTCTGACTACTCTACTGGAGTAGTAAGGTCTCCACACCAATCTTAAACCAGCAGAGACATGGAAATCGACTGCCAGTTTCCAGTATTTTCCCACTCTAACTTCATCTTTGAATTTAACATATTAAGCAACCTCAAAGGGAAAACTATTCAAGGTTGCATTTCAAAACCCAGTCCTATCAGTGGCAAACTTAATTAAGAGTTAAAATCCCTGTAATGGTTTTTGATACAAAAGCCAATTCTTGGAAACAGCAAAAAAGCTGGACATTTTAAAACTTCAACTTGTTATAGGAAATTTATCTTATAGGAAAAGCAGATGTTCTTCTACTTCACCACCTCCAGCCACTCTGAATGCATAGCTGACCTGCTTCCTATCCAGATGTTCTTTGAATATCAAGAAAATGCATTATGTTATCTGAAAGGCTTAAAAATCCAGTAGGATCTGTGAAGAATGACCAAGGAACAACAGCAGAAAAGGCAAAATGGTCCAAAAGGCAAGTTCAGCCTGACAGTCCAATTCCCTCAAGGAAAAAAACCCTCTACTAAATAAAAAAAAAAAAGCAAGGCAAACTGAAGCATCTTACTAAGAGGCCTGCAATGGCACTGAGAAGGTAGGACAGCATGTTTTTACCAGATGCTCCACTAGACAAGAATCCTGCTGACACAGGCCTAAGGAATAACCCCCTCCCATCCCCACTCCTTTGATTCCATGTCATCTTTTATGACTGCCTGTGCTTGGCATAATAAGACCCTCCTTTCATAGATCTTTCCTAGATATTAAACTTTGTGAATTGCCCTAACACAAAACTGTTTTGAAATCGTATTTGCAGATTTGGAGGTTGAAAGTCTGAGCCACAGGACTTCACTGACACTTAAGTGGTGTAGCTGAAGACCTCGAACTCATTTCAAAGATGAGTCTTGGAACAAAGTTCTCATCTTGAACTTGGAGCACTCAAGTTTCAGACCAGCCTACCCCACAGCTATTCTGACAAAGGCTCTTTTCTGAGGCGTTACTTCAAAAAGCCTGCTCCGAGAAAGAATACATACTAACTATATTCTTTTACTTTCTGCTTAAAAGCAAGAATGCTATACCAAAATGCCCTATATAACAAATCAGTCCACCTAAAGAAATTTTTTCCAACTGATTCTCCTTCCCCTCTCTCTTTTCTAGCCACAATAATGGAAAATTCCAACCACTATTTAAAAAAGAGCTGTATCCACACCTAATAGAGAAAATAAAGATGAATGAAAAGCTTCCATGTGATGAGGAGCATGCAGGGACTTAAAGGTTGTCTCCCTGGAAGCTGGGAATTCAGAAGCAATAAGGGCAAAGACTCTTCATACTTTCTGCTTCTGAATACTGGAACAGAGGAGTATGTTTGCACATACCATTCAAGAGCTTTGTTTTCTTCAATGGTTCTTAAGATTGGTGAAAGTGGCAGAGAGAGAAATTAACTCCTCCTTCATTTTCAATCACCATTAGCATCATTGTAATAATCAAAAGCTTCAACAAGACAAACATTAATTCATCCTGCTTCTGGAAGTATTAGTAGTCAAAAATATTGAAAACCATGCCCTTATATTAAAGCAGAGAGACAGAAAAGGGTATGGTCATCCTCTGGGGTAAAATACCACCAGAAGTTTCAACCCATATTAAGCACAGAAAGGTAAACTTCTGAGTCATTCACATGCTATTTAGGGTCACAGCACATATTTGTCGAGGATCTCCACATGGTAAATAAATGCAAGGCTCAGTAATTTAACTCTGTCAAACAGATTTTTTTTTTCTTCTTGACTGGAGTGACTTAAGGAGGTCGCCAGTAAAGCAACAGGAATAGAATTTTCCATTTTCTTGGTTCAAATGATAAAAACATAAACCATGATACAATACGTGTAATGTAGGTTTTCAAGGAAAACTCCTTCCAGCTCAACAGCAGCTAGCAGCTTGTCTCTATTTGCCGTCACTCTAGATCAGAAGAGCCCACATGCTTTTTTTACTTTCCTGCCCCTTTCAGTTACACTTGAGTTCTTTGACTGAAAAGGTCTGGAACAGATTAAAAGTCCAACCACAAAATAAAGAGTCTTGGCATGTACTCAAGCCTGTCTGGGATACACATACACAGTGGGCCCAAAAAGGGAAGCTATGCAGCAAGAAACCCTTAATCAGTCTTTTGGACATTTCTAACTTCTTTCAGTTTAACTGCACAGCCTTAACATTTGATGGAGTTTCAGTATGCACAAGACATGCAGCTTTTGACCTTACAAATGGACCACTCTATTTACAGGAATACAAAATAGTTGTGAAAAGCAAGATTCATCTCACTCACAACCTCTGTCCAATGAGGTGTTTTCCACAGCAATTTTAATTCCAGTTCGTCTTTGGAAACTATAAAGTATTGCATGTAAAGAAAAACAAATACCCTGCAAGATTACCTGAGTAAATATAATTGCAAAAGGCAACACTGATTTTCAAAATGACTGCTTCCTTTTCAGCCTTATTCACATACTAAGTAATTGTGAAGTTGCAAATTACCCACACACTCCTCTTGCAACATGCAAACACGTCTGTGGCTCTGGCTGGTGTTAAAGCCAGCATGGACATTTGCCAAAGCTGACACCCCACCTTTGGGCTCAAGTTGCATAGTGGTTCAACCTGTCTACAAACTGGTGAGCAGTTTATAAACAAAGTGTGACAATCTGGTGTTCTCCATAAGAACAAATGGATGTTGTAAGTAAGCACTCAAGCTTAGAGAACAAAAATGAAAAATTTCTAACAGACATTTCAGGAAACAAAACAGAACAGTGAGTGTGGGGTTTTGTAGCTCTGTATGTATATGGCATTCATGGAGTTAATGCCTCTCCCAAAAAGGGGCCCACAGTTGTTGTTAGGTCAACCCCTGTAAAGCTTCAAAGGTTTTGCATCCCCTCAGCCTGACCTACTCAGTGATCTGCACACTGTTTTCATTTAGCTGCACTGAGTCCAAAAGTAAAGCCTGAAAACCACAATGATCTCTTCTTTTTTTTTTTTTTTTTTTTTTTTTTTTTTTTTTTTTTTTTTTTTTTT